TTTGCCCTGGGATGACTGTTCTCAGGGGAAATAGGAAGACATTCCAGACCCTGTTGGAAATGGGCCCCTGTACCAGGGGCCATGGGCATGGGGTGGAGTAGCGTGCCCAGTTGTCATGGAGACAGTTTAGCTCTGTTGAGACTCTGGAGCCCAGACCTGGCAGCATGAGTGTGAGTTCCGTGGTTCCTGCTATGGCCTTACCCTGATGCCCAAAGTGAGGGGTGGGGTGCAGAACTAATCTTTAGCAGTATCGCCTATGTCCCTGGGGCCCTGGAACCACTCACCTTGGCTCCCCACCCATCTCTGAGAGGCCTTTTCTAATGGCCCCAGTGCTAGAAGGTCCTCTCAGGGTCTTTACTGATGCCCATCCACACTGGCTACCATCTGACTGCCCACTTCCCACCACCGGTTTGCTAAGGCCAGGACCCAGGTCAGTGGAATCCTGAAAAATTACGGCCTTGGGCTCAACCCTGTTCAGGTGAAAGAATGAGGCAGGAAGCCTGAAACAGAGCTGGGCAGGTATGTTCCCTGGTGAGACTCTAATCCACTGCCAGCTTGCTGCCAAGCTTCCCATCTCCCACACTGCCACACCATTATAGTTCTTTACAGCGATCTGTTCAAAAGGCTTCCATTATCTTACGAAAGCAAAACAAAACTGGGGACGTAGCTCGGTTGGCAGAATTTTGGGCTAGCATGCACAGGGCCCTGGGTTCAATCCTTGGCATTTCATAACCTAAGTGTGGTGGTATAAACCTATAATCCCAGCACGTGGGAGGTAAAGGCAAGCACACCAGAAGCCCAAGGTCCTCTCTGGCTACGGTAGAAGTTCCAAGCCAGCCTGGAATACACGAGACCCTGTTACTCCGCCTGTCAATAGCCCCATTCTATAATCTCTGAAGCCAGGCCTTTCCTAATCTGGCCCAATTTACCTTCCCAAGCCTCACTCTGGACTACCGCTCCCCAGAATCTCCTTTCCAGACAAGTTCAGGCACTGCCTCGACTGGCCAAGACCTCTCAGGCCCCTGAACTTTCATGTGTGCTTCTCCCAATTGCCAAATGCCTGGCCTGTGCTTCTTTCTAAGGCAAGCTCTTCTTTGGCCTTCAAAACCCAAAGCTCTACCCCCAAAGCTCTTGGATCCCGCAGCACGGCTGGAATCCCGAACTGACTTCTAATTGCAAGTCCCTGCCAGGGTATACTGACGACGACGATGGACACGTTACGTGCTTAGAAGAGCATCCACCACACAGCCAGCACCCCACCAATCTGTGTTATCTTGACAGCTACTGATTACCGTGGCCTCGGTGAAATCCTCCCCAAAGTCTTCCACTGAGGAAGTGGCATACACGTCCTTCCCGGAGCTTCCGGAACCCCCGTCCCACACATCAATCTCTCAGAACGGGGTAATGTTGATAACAGCTGCCCTTCCATACCACGAGTGTTTACTATGTGCGAAGCTCTGGGATGACTGCTTCTTTTTGCCTCATCCTCCAGTCACCCAGAAACGAAGAAGCATCCTCATGCCCATTTCACAGAGGAGGAAACTAAGGCAGCAGGGGAAGAGCGAGACAGCAACAATTACCTCTACAGGAGCTCACAAGGACAGCAGATGGGTCTAGGGCCCTGGCTTTAGCAAGGCATCCCTGGTACCACACGTGTAAGGTGCCCAGCATATACTGAGTGCTCTGCAAATAAGAGGTTGCTACTACAGTGCTTCTGCTAATATTAGTGGTGGGGAGGTGTTGGGTGAGCTGAGAAGGAACTCCTTAAGCTACACGCCCTGCAGAGCACAACCTACTCCATTCCTAGGGGAAGAAACCAGGGTCTCAGAGGGGTCCTGGGTCTGTTACACATAGGGTCAGACACGGGGAAGACAGGGAACCCTAATATCTCACTGGGCCTAGAGACCCCATGGGATGTTTTGATGAGCAACTCCTCTAGGGGGCTCTGGTGTACTCAGATTGGGCCGAGCACGAGAGGGCCTGCTCTGGGCTGGCCAAGTCAGCCACAGCTCTCTGGCCCTGCTGACACTATCCCATAGTAATGAGACGGATCCAATTTGTACCCAGAGCCCCACCGGGAGCAGCTGCCGCGGCAGGGTTTGAAGTAATTTAATTGGACACATTAGCCACACAGCTCTCTCCTCTACTCCCCTGTTTGGGGCTTCACGCAGGCACCCCTTTCTCACTTACCAAGCCCTGGCAGGAAGCAGCCGCACACACCACCAACCAGTTAGAACAGACTCAGTGGCACCCCTCTTCTCTTTTTTCTGGGGTTCCTGGAGGTGCACAAACCCGAGGCCCCTTTTTTGCTGATGCAAACAGTAGCTATGGAAACTTATTGAAGCCGAGACTCAGACCCTCCCTTTTGCCTCCTCCACTGGGAAGAACAGGGTCACCCCTTTCTCTCCATCAAGCAGCCCCAGAAGCCCTCATCCTCCCAAGCTCCAAGGACACTGGAAGGAGCAGGGCCAGAAGCATAACGCTGTTCTGACAGTACGTTTGGTTCTGTCACTATCAGGGTAACTACTGATTCAGGGGACAGTCCTTCTCTTCGGGTCTTGGGGAGGGGTGCAAACACACATGCATAGAATCAGACAGAGTCACTAACACACAGATGAGTTCAGTTTAACCCACCTACACACACACACACACACACACACACACACACACACACACACACAGAGCCACACAGCATCATGGTGATCTTGTGTCTGTATACAGAATACTCCCACAACCATCCCATGTCCACACCCATGCATGCTTACTGCTAGGTGAGGCCCTGCTCCCTGAAGATGGAAGCCTCAGAGGTAGCCAAGTTGGCAGGTTGAGGGTGTGGCAGGGGGCAGGCAGGATCCCTAGAGAGCCCTGACAGGCTGAGTACAGGGCCGGGGGAGGTGTCCTCCCCAAAGCTTTCCGTCACAGCTCCCCATGCACCTCAATGCACCTCGCTATGAATACACTCATTAGCTGCTGTTTACAGCGGGCAGGGCACTCGGCACTCGGATGAGCGCAGCTATCACGGCCAGCCAGCTGCCGCCCGCACACGCACACACGTAGGTACACACAGTCACCAGGCTTCTCCTACCACCCTGTCTTCCCCTTCCCCCTCACTCAAGCCCCACATGCTCTATCACATGGACATACCAATTCCCCAAACATCCCAGCCCACCCTATAACTCAGTTTCAGGCCCAACCACCCAGGGTGACACACCTTTCCCAAGGGCCCCTTGCAGGTAGAAGCTGCCAAGCCTTCGTGAGGAGCCGATGAGCCAGCCCACCTTCCTACCAACGGGTCAGAATGCAGGAATAGATGCTGGGCTCTCTCCAGTCCCTTCCACAGGTTCCACGCTGTCTGCCAACTCTGTTTCAACCCTCAGGGAATTCTGCTGGGTGAGACAAAGCTTGGCCCTCCAGAGGCAAATTGGACAGAGACCAGCAGGGCTACCCCCTGCTGCCTGAAGGTCAGCACCTCCAAGTCCATGGAACTGGCACAATTCGCTTGGCACCACTGGCTGGGGTTCCCTGGCAAGGTAGAAGGGTACCCAGGCTTAGCCTGGCACAGGCTGGCTCCGGCACCTGGCCAGAGCAGTGACTGCCCTGATAGAGAAAGCTGACCTCATTGGCCACGAGTGCCACCTGTGGGCACTGACCATGGAATGGTCTACACATAGAGATGTCCGTGCCCACCTGGGATATCTCGGTGTCTCCTAGGAGCCCACGGAACCAACTCCTCCTCCTCCACTCAGGACTAAGCCTCCCAGCCAGCACATGGTCCCCTCAGCAGCTACTCCCTGCTGTTCTGGGCCTCACTCCCCTGGGGGAAGCAGTTATTGAAAACGGTCCATCAGATTCAATAAGAATTCAAAGTCCCTGAGAGAATAGAGGGGTGGGTGGAGAGTGGGGATGGAGAGGAGGGGACCACATGCTCCTCCTTTGCCCTTCCCCCATGGCATGCTTCAATATTAGGCCTGGAGGGCCCTTGCTCTGTTGCCCTTGGAGCCTGTGGGTCAACTAGGCCCGGGACCAGCTGCCCAAAGACCCGTCTTTGCTTGCTTGATGACCACCTGGTCCTCTGCCTTCTAGCTTTCCCCCTGCCCCTCCCCACCACCTACCACAAGCTGGCCTATCACCATGATCCAACCTTCTCTGGCACCCCTACCATCAAGGAGAGGCTGCAGGACCATCTCCTTTCTCCATCCTTGGGTTCATAAACACCTAGCCTGATGGCCAACCTATCCCTACAAGGCACAGAACAGCACAGACCAGAGTCAGTGAGAGGTCTGTCTCCTCAGCAACTCTACAGCTTAGAGGGGCCCCTATACCCAAAGGTCATCCTCCCCTAACCCACTGTTAGACTTACTCATCCTCAGACCCCATCCCTGCCATACCTGTTGGAGGGACCAAGTGTTCTGAAGTACTACCCTCTGCCCCAAGCCCAGGACACAGGCACAGCAGCAAACGGAGTCTGTGCAGATGGGGTTAGCTAGACGAGGAATGTCCTTTGGAGAGCAGTTGTCAGGGAAATTGTGGGATGGTCTGTCTTTGTTGGATTTCCACATCACCCAGCCTTGGCCCTGGCACCATCTATGGTCCTCATACCATAAACTTAACCTGTTCTTTCAGCCCTAACTCCAGCTTCACACCAACCCCTTCATCAGACTCTGCCCTGAAGTTGTGCCCAGGGAGTAGACGGGAGATTTAGACAATTACCTTGCCATGCCAAGGCCCTCTGCCCTATATGATACATCTAACTCTGGCCCCTTTGCCCCTAAGGAATGACCTGCCTGATGGAGTGTCTGTAGGGGACAGAGCCCACTAACAGGTGGGACAGATGGAGGCTTCAGACACTGCTGTCCAGTGGGACTAACCAAGTCCCAGGAGCCTGCTGACCGAGTAGGAAGCCCTCAGGACCTGACCTCTCCCTCCCAGCCCTTCTCTTTGGCCTTGCTCACTAGCTCACCGCAAGGTCACTTCTCCCTCCCTCCTCCTTCCCGCGGCTGTCCTGCCTGTCCCGCCTGCCCACTGCAACGCTGACCCCTGCAGGCCTGCTGAGGCCCTGCCCAGCCTGGGGACAGGCCATCAGAGAGACAGACTAAGGAGGCAGGCGAGGCCAGCTTTGGGATGCAGAGGCTAAAGGATGGGAGAGAGAGGACAGAGGAGGCTGAAGGTACAGGGTAGAGGTGGCTGGGAAGGCTGGAGTAGGATCTCATGGGTGTGCATGGGAAGGAACAGGTCTGCATTCTCCATCTGCCTCCTGTTCTCTTCCATGGCCCCTTTCTTTATAATAACAGGAGTAACAGTGCCCGGGGCCAGGGACCAGGTGGGAAGGGAAGAGCACTCATCAGGTAAAGTCTTAGTCTTAGGATGAGCCCTATGGGGACCTGCAGAGTGAGCGAGCAAAGGGAGAGAGAATACCATAGGAACCCTTCTGGAACTGGCCCGGGGCTTGATGAGCAGGAGAGCATAAGGTATCTTTTATTTATTTAGTTTTTAATAGGGCAACAGTGGGCCACAGGTGTTCCTGAGAAGGGTGGATGAGGAGACCAGGCTGTAAGAGGTACTGGCTCCTGTGGGACCGGAGGGGAGATGAGGGACTGGTCTGAGTCACACAGGAATTAATTTGCATATCTCACTCCTACCTGGTGCCAGGCAAAGGGGAGTTGTGGGTGGTTAGAAATGGGGGACATAGGGCCTTAGCTGTGGGTAGCAGAGCCTGGGGGACTTTGAGTAAGCTGCTAGGGATGGGAGTGACATGGAGCTAGAGGGATTCTGGGAAGTGGGCAGTGACACTAAGGATCACAAAAGGCTCCCAGAGATCCCAACGGAGCAGGATCCAAACATACCTTACCCACTCGCTACAACCTATTTTTGTTTCCACCAGCCCAGTGCCCACACAAGAGAGAAGAAAACCTCACCAGCTTCCTTCACAGTCAGAGCCAACCTTGCCACAGGCATTGGCGGACCCTGGAGTTTTCAAGGGGCAAGATAGGTAAGCAGGAAGGGAAGGGTTCAGAGGCTGCCAGCCTGTCAGGAACAGCTGTGGAATCCAGGCCCTTTGCCCAGAAGATGCCAAGCACATCAAGTTGGCCTCTGTGGAGAGGGCAGAGGTGCTTGGAGGAGTGGTAATGTCACGGTGCCAAAGTATCAGAGGATAAGAGTGGGTGGGTGGAAGCACGGTCCCAGGCCAGTGACCTGACAGCAATGGAGACTGCCCCCCCCCCCCCTGCACTCCCTTCCACTCTCATCCTGACCTGGCCTCTGAACTTGGTTGCTGAGCGTGAACCAAGCAAAGAGATGGCCCTGCCTTTGGTGCAAGTGTAGGAAGTGGGCTTTCCCAGGGGAACAATGTCAGGCTAAGTGACCTGGGTTCAGACAGATGAGGGGAAGGACCCTCAAAGGTAATGTCCCTTCAGCCCACACCTAGAGGACATTCAGAGAAGGACATGAAGCTCCAGAGGAGACTGAGGCTCAGACCCAAGTCCCGAGTGAGTACAACGTCTGCCACCCAGTAGGTCAATCTCAGTGGACTTGGAGTGGCCCTCGGGAGAAAACAGCGAGTGTGGATTGGGCACAAATGGTCAAAGTCAGTGTCCACCAGCATGCTGTGCACAGCTTCGGGGCTTGCGTCCCCGTCCCCTTCTGTGGAAGGTTTCAGGGCTGGTCTTTCTCACAGCACATGCCTCCCCCAGGGCCCACAGCAGGGAATCCAGAGACTCTTGTAGGAGCAGGTCTTAGGCTGGAGCCCCACTCTTAGCCTAGCCCAGAAACAGAAACCCCGGAGGCCAAGAGGCTGAACTAGGAGAAGTGGGGGTAGGGGGGTTCTGCTGGGTCTGAAGGAGTATCCCAGGTGGGAGCTGGAACTGAGCCTGGACAGGAGCTGCAGGGGACCTGTCTACAGGTGGGCACTGCGTGGGGGAGGCGTCAGGAGCCAAGGAGGAAATGGCAGAGCAATTTCCCGAGGAAGGAGGAGAGATTCCTGGCTTGGGCTCTAAGGATGCTAGAAGGATGCTAAGCCGACAGTGGGCTCCCAGGCCACTCCCTTTCAGAAAGGCAAAGGGGTGCGGCCCCCTTCCTCACCCTCCCTGGTAGGACTGGAGTGAGTTTGGTGTTCTTTGCGTCCCCCTCCCCAAGCCCAGGAGAACATTGCCCGGCCACCCCCATTGTCATCAGCCGCTGAGATTTCTCTTCAGGTACCCCTGCCTCCCCTTCACCGCTCTTGCGGTTCCCCACCCCCCAGAAGCCTCTATCCCCGCCGCTGCACCAGATTCCCACTTGCCCCCTGGAGCCCTCTCAATTCACAGTTGGCATCACAGATGACACTCCGCTCCTCTGTGCCCACAATCTTGGCCCAAAGCTGCCAGGATCCTCCTTGCCCCGAGGTTCCCCAACATTGACATCCCCAGGGCACCGGTGTTGGGGAGCAGGGGGTACCTCTGAAGGCACTGCCCGGCTCCCACGGGGACAGCGGCTCCTCGCTCCACCACACACGTTGTCCTTGGGCTGCTGGGGGGTGGGGGGGAGGTCCTTGTGGGGACACTGCGAACCCGGCCCCGGGCATCCAGCCTAGCAACGTCCCGACTGCGGGGTCTAAGTCTGAGTCTCTGCCACTAGAACCCACGCCCCGGGGCTGGGATGACCCTGGTAGGAAGGGGTGCAATTCGTGCGGCTCCAGCCGACAGCAGCCCTAGGCTGGGGCTCCGAGACGGCGACCAGGCGCTGCAGCCATCCTGCCCGCCGGTGCGGGGCGCCCCAGCCCGCGCGGGGCCGCGCTTACCTGGGCTGGCCGCCTCCGGGTCCCGGTACATGGTCCCCTCGTCGCCGGCTCCCTCCGGGCTCCTCAGAGCCGCCTGCGGCCGCGCGCTGCTCTGCCTCCGCTGCAGGGCATGGGGCCGGGCGACCCCCGGGGGCGGGTCCGAGGGCGGGGGCCGCGCGGGCTGCACCGAGCCGCTGAGCCGGGGAGCGGGGGCCGCCCGCCAGCCCTCCCGGCCGCCCGCGGAGCACGCTGCCGCCGCCGCCGAGACGCGCGGAGCCTCCTCCCTCTGGCCTGCGCGCCGCGTGTGCGCGCCGGAGCGTGTGTGAGTGTGTACGAGGCGGAGAGAGTGTGTGTGTGTGTATGTATGTATGTGTGTGCGTGCGTGCGTGTGTGAGTGTGTGTATGTGTGTGTGTGCGCCCGGGGCACCGCCGGCGCCGCCCGCCCGCCGCCGAGCGCCACGGCCACTGTCACTGCTGCGCCCACTACCGGCCACGCGCTGCACTGCAGCCCTGGACTGGCCGCCGCCGCCCGGAGCCGCCCCGAGGGCACGGCCGCCGCCCCGCACACCCCAAACGCTCACGAGGCCCCTGCCTGGAAGGGCCGCGGAGCTCCACGGCTAGGTTCGTCCAGACTATGGAAGACGTGACCCACTCGGCCTGTGAGCCACGGGTGGCGGTGGACTCGCACGCCACCGGGTCGCCCAGCTGGCCATCTCCTCCGAGGTGCCCTCTGACTCCGTTCCGAAAGGCGTGGAGATCCGCCCCGGGTTTTCCGCTCGGTGGCCGCTCGAGGGCGTTAGCTCCGGACTCGGAACAGTGGAGGACCAGGGAAGAAGGGTTGGTGGGTATCAAAACCAGGAGTGGAGTATGTTGCCAGTTCTGGGCCTCGGTCTGACAGTCTTGTCTTTCCCAGAGCTGACGCGCTGCAGGAACAGATAGGATAGAATCTCCTTCTTCCGTGGGGTACTACATATGGCAACCTTTCCCACCTATTCCAGCTCTGTGAAAAAAGAAAGCAGCTGTTAGCCCCTATTCATTCCTCTCTTGACCCTGTTCTCTCGGTCCTCCTGTTTCCCTTGACCCAGTGTGCCCCTGATAGAAATGAAATCCCCTTCTGCCAACCTTGAGGATCTCTTGGCGCACTCTCTGCTATCTGCTCCCTGTATCTGTTTAACGTTTTCCAGATCTGACAGATTCTGTTTTTCTCTACAGAATCGGGACTATTTGATTCTGGGGCGGGGAAGAGACAGAATCATGTCTCAAGAACTTTGAAGGCCCAGGATCGTACCATGGGGATCAGGAACCAGGCCTCCTTACACACATCTTCACAGGGACTCACTTCTCTGCCCTCAGTACACACAAGCATACAAACAGCCTAGCTCACAAAGAATCACAGACCTTTCCCACAGTGCATGTCTTGCCCCTACCCTGCACTGAAAGGGGTGGGTAAGACAGCATAATTGTTGGAATACAAACGTCAGCATCTTCCTTCCATGCAATTGACAAGTGAACCAGGCTTTCCAACATTGAAGGTTTCTGCTCCCAGAAAGCCACCTAGCTGGCTTCATACTGTGTGTGTGGCTCATGCCCTACCATATCTCCACCTCCTACGTGGTACAGCCAGCACCAATGGGGACAAATCTTTGTTCCAAGTGTCCCTCACTGTGCGCGCGCGTGCACACACACACACACACACACACACACACACACACACACCCCACACATTCACCTCCACCCACAGCTTTTCCGGCTGAGAAATAGATAAGGAAATTCCCCCAGCAAACCTTCTCTAAGACTGTTCCGGTGGAAAACAGATTTCCTGGGACTGAATATTCTAATTAAAAATGGAAGGGGAGCAAATGGAAGGCATGTGTAGGTTAGGGCCTGTAATTCCCCAGTGGCCAGAAATCTCAGCCCTCACCCTGTGGTCAAGGGCTGTTTTGTTCCACATCCTGCAGCCATCCTCACTCACATGCAGCCAAGAATCCAGGAGCTAGCCACAGCCTGTGTGTGTGTGTGTGTGGGGGGTGTCTGCGAACCCTGGGAAGCCAAGCCAGTAGGCTGGGGTTCTCGGGTCACCAGCCTTCACTCGTGCCACCTTCCAGATCTGTCTGCTTCTCTCAGTGCCTTCTAAAGAGTGAAGAGGGGCACTATCCCCTACCCCAGCCATCAATGGGTATACAGGAAGGGCTCCTCTTCAGAAATCTTCCTACTCCAGATTCTCCCACCCTCCAGAGAGAAAGGAGAGGGGAACAGCATAATCCCTTGCCATTGTAACTTGACAGGTTTTTTTTACTGTGTGTCTGGAAGCTCCCAGTTTCTCAAAGCTGATGAAGAGGACATCAGAGAGATGACCCAAGTCACCTCCTCAGGTGACAAATGATGAAAGTCAAGCCCCTAGAGGAGACCCAGAGAGCCATAAACTCTGAGAGCTCACAACCCAGGGTGCTGTTAGGGGACCTGGAGAAGTCCTTGGTTTCATTCCCAGATTTTTACCTGCCATTCTGAGATCCATGAAAAGATTCTTCCATTTGCTCCCAACTCAGGGCTTACAAATAAAACTCACCTCATTCTCTCTCAGCAGGCATGAGATAGCCACTATTCTAAAGAGTGGAGATGGACAGTCCCCCAGACATGCTAGATAAAACCTCAAGAGATCGCTTTGTGCAAAACAAGGCTCTGGGGCATTGTGGGCTTTGATTTATTTCTTTTTTATTTTTATTTTTTGAGTACCGGGGACTGAGTCCAGGGCCTTATGCTTGCTAGGGAAGTACTCTACCATTGAGCTAAATCTTCAACCCCCTGAGACTTTGAAAACCCCTTTTCTGTGGTTTTCAGGCACTTTGTTCAGGGAAAGCAGCAGCATTGGAAAGAGGACAAAATACACATTCATGTGGCTCTGCCATTCACAGCTGTAGTTAACCTGCACAGACACAGGTCTCGGGGCCTTGGTTTCTTCTTTCTATATAATGAGGGTAACAATACTTATTTCTTTGATTACCATAAGATTAAATGTGATACCATTAATGATACCTGAAGCATCTGATTTATTCTTGATATTGATTCCTATTTTTTTTTTTTATCCTTAAGAGAGACGCTGTAAACTCTCCATTCTCATGTTTTGCTTGTTGAAGAAATCATTTCAGAAGTCTAACCTCAAACCATCTTGCTACATTTGAAGGCTACTCTCTTCTGCTGGAGCATCCTGAGAGCCCAGCCAGCTGGGAGTTCCTGCCTTCTAAGCACTCAAAAGGACAAGGCAGAGGCAGGAAATGGAGTCTGCAGGAGAACTCAGGTCCTTGGACAAAGAACCCAGGAGACTGTGAATTACCCCCACCCTGCTCTCAGGCTCTGACTCTTCTTAGAAGAGGTCCTGTGCCTCTGGAGGAGGGACTTCAGGAGAGGCCCTTTCCTTCCATGACGCTACCGCCGGGTGGGCCCCTGTGTCCTGGATTCCATGACGTGGCAGGAAGCGTTCATAGCACCTAATTCCCCAAGGGCTGGCTTGCTGCATGCCTTGGACCCCTCAGGCCTGTTTCCCATCTGGCACAGTCATTGAAATCAGGTGTCCTGGGCCAGCTGCAGGCTGAGAGTAGGAGCAGAGAGGGACATTTTGTCCCTCTGGAGCAGACGCCAGGCCTCTACTCTCCCAAACAGGGCCCCCGAGGCCACCTGGCTGTGTTGCTAGGCCACGGCATGGAGGCAGGGCTCCTGGGTCTGCCAGCATCTTCCCTGACATGATCTCCATACTGCTGTTTCCCTACAGCTCCTGTCCCCTCACCCCCACCCACCAGACTACAGGATGAATTATTAATAAAAATGCTGAGGAAGCTGTTTGTGTGTGCGTGTGGCAGAACAAATACACCTCTCTCCTTGTCACCATCCATGTGGCAACAGACTCAGACTGAGCATTGGCCTGATCCAGCAGTGACACATCAGAGCCTACACAGTATACGAGGCCAGCCTAAAGCACTTGTCCCACAACCCTGTCCCCAACCCCCATCCATCCCCTTCCTCCTCTGCAGAGGTCCGGAGTCTGGAGTGGATAAAAGCACAGGATTAACAGATCAGCCAGTGTGGTGCTGCATGTCTGTAAATCTAGTACTTGGAAGGTTGAGGGAGGAAGATCAGGAGTTCAAGATTAGCCTGAACTATAAAAGATACTGTCTCAAAAGAACAATAAACAGATGCCATCATCCTAAAAGGACAGGACAGCAAAGACCAAGAAGGCAGTAGCAGCTATCACCATGCCCGTCTCATCACAAGGAGATGCAATCAGTGTTTTTGGATTTCCTACCCATGCCCAGCCCTGTGGTACTCCTGCTTTGGAGGCCTAGTCCTAAAAAGATGGGGTTTATGCCACAACATCAAGAGCATAATTCTAGTCCTGTGCTCTGCTCCTGCCTTGTTTCTCTAGCTCTTAGTCTAGATGGTTATCTCTAGGCCTTGGTTTCCCCATCAGGGCTAAAAATAGTACTGCAGAGATGTCAAAATATGTTGGCAAGATACGGCAAGATGTTTTTCCTGGTTCCCCAGACGTGACCCCAAAGCATCAAGAATCCTGACCCAGGCTGATCTCTCTATATCTACAGGCACTCAAGAACCCCCCAGGCTGCTGCAGGTCCAGAAGCATGCATTCTCTTACTAGAAGCCCCGCCTCCAGATCACCTGTCCTCCCATGTGTTTCTCTCCATCTTGATTCTCTCCCTTTTTAAAAAATTTTAAACATTTATTTATATCTGTTTTTTTTTTTTTTTTTTTTGTGTGTGTGTGTGTGTGTGTGTGTGTATGTATGTGTGAGCATGCACACGCCATGGCTTGTGGGAATCAGTTCTCTCCTTCCACTGTATGAGTTCCCAGGACCAAGTTCAGATCATAGGGTTTGGTGGCAGGTGCCTTTACCTGCCAAGCTATCTTGTGCTGCTGTCTCTCTTTCCCCCATGTTCCTCCTGATAGCCATCCATACTTCACTCAGCTTTTGTAGCATCGGCCCCCAAAGCCCCCAAGCTGAAAACAGGTGGCCTTCTTCTAGTCAGCTCCTCCAGGGACAGCTACAGCCTTCAAGGGAAGCTTGATCTCAGGCCTCTTCGTTGACTCTTGGGCTGCTCCAGACCCCTGAGACTGACTGAGGCCCCTTGGAAATTCCTCATCTTGCTGATGTCAAGCTCAGGGAGCTGGGGTAAGACCCTCAATTCTTCCGAGAATCTGCTTACCATTCTGTGCCATAGGGATGCTGTTTTACCATCTTGGTAGTGTCTCGAGTCCTGGGGATCTCATTCCCCTAGGAAAAAAATACAGACAGACATAGATACAACATTTTGCTTATCAGTAAGTGTGTGGCCTGAAGTTTCCAGGAAAGCTCCCTTGTCCTGAAGCTCTCTCTACAAGGTGGCTTCCAACAGTCTCAGCCCAGTTCTTTGCACTCCTGGTCCTCCCCATGATGACTCTGGGTCATGAGAGAGGTGGGCTGGGGGTATCTATTCCTAAAGTGTTCCCCTCTAGCCTTTGTGGCCTCTTCCTTCAGCACTGCTGTGGCTGGAGCCAGCCTGTCTGCAGCTCAGACTGGTGTTTTAATCCTTCTTGGAACCCATTGAACCGGCTTCACCTGCCTTTCAAGGTATTTAAAGGTTCTTTGACCAAATGCTTTTTGATCCTCCATTGATGGGAAACAGGCAGAGGCTCTTGCGCCAGCTGCCCCATTCCCCCTATGTGATTAGTCTCTAAGAGCTCTTTTTGATATTGCAGAAACTGTCTGTGGTTTGTTCAAAGCCCTAGCTCTTGCCACTACCTCCCCCAGAGAACCAAGCTGGTCAGCTCCAGCCTGCACTGCCCATCCCCAGTGATGGCCTAGTTAACAGGGGCCTCCCAGGATCAAACTCCTACCTAGACTGCTTTAGGACCCCAGCCCCAGCCGAGTTGATAGAGAATCCAGTCCTGCTCCTCTCAGGGAGCTTCCTGGAGTCTGGATACGATGGGATGAGGGATTAGTGGCCCCTAGACTTCAGAGGACCATACCTCTCCATCTACCCCCTGAGGAAAGACAGGTCAGAGGGCCCATGGGGTCTCTGGACCTGTTTTCAGGGTCTGGTTAATGAGATATCTTAGCTTGATACTGAGGAGGGGAAACTGAGGCTCTGAGTTTCAGATTCAGAGTTGTGTATGAGAGGACAGAAACTAGAACATATTACCCAGTGTCTTCCCCCCCCACACACACACCCGTCCCTTCAAGGAAGGACTTAGTGTATCCCAGGTTGGTCTCCAACAGGCTGTGAAGTCACGGATAACCGCGAACTTCTGATCTTTCTGCCTCTATCATTCAAGGCCGAGGTAAAAGGCACCAGTAAGCCAAGTTTACGTAGTGCTGGGGATGGAACCAGCTAAGCAATCACTTTACCAGTTGAACTACATACACTCCCATTCCCATCCCAAGATCTCTGTGCTCCAGTAGTGGGCAGCTGCCAGTCTCCAAGGAGCTCCTCAGCTGGGTTTTGATCCAAAATTGGAGGTTCGGGGGTTGGGGAGAGAGACCAGGTGCTTTTGCTCCTAATAGTGGAGAACCTGTAATCGCCCAGCTTGGGGCCCTGGATTGCCACCTCTCAACTGGAGCCCAGAAAGGAGCGTCCCTCTGTGTCAACACCAAACCGGTGCTGGAGCGCTAGAGTGGAGTCAGGGTCCTTACAGGAGACGGGCGAGGACGGTGTGCGCGTGCGCAGAGGGGGCGTGGCGGCGCCCTCGTGAGCTGACAAATTGCGGCGGACTAGAGAACAGGACAGTGCTCTCCCTGGAGGAGGAGACCCATCTACAGAGCCAATAAGCACCAGACGCTGAAAAGTGCTCAAACCACTGCTCAAGGTCCACCCCAGCTCTCACTGAAGCTGAAGACCGCAGTGGGTGTGAGGGTCCTTCAGATCGTAGGATTATCCGTGAGGAGACGCCTAGTGTCCTGCAACCACCCTTCCTAGCTTTGGGCTTAGGACGAGTTCCAGCACCCCAGGATGGGGGGCGGGGTGCAAATCACCTGGTCCCCTCCTTCACCAAGACCTCCAGAGAGGCTGCTGGGCACCTTAGCTGTGCCAGACCCAGCGCCAGAACCCAGTCCCGGCACTGTAATAATCATAATAGCAGCTGCCAGCATTTATTGAGCTCTGAGGGCTTGCCTGGCCCGAGTGCCAAATGCATAACACGCATTATCCCACTTAATAGTCACAGCAACCAACATAGAAATCGTCTTGTGATAATCCCCTTAGGAAGGTGAGGAGCCTGAGCCTCGATGGTCCGTGTTTCTCCCTCCCCCGCTGCTCTGCAAGGTCACAGCCAGAAGGAGGGGTAAGGGAGCCAGTCACCTGAGTGGGCTGTGCTGCCTGTGGCTCTGAAAGCCTTAGAGGTGAAACTGGGCAGGTACCAGGGGCAGCCCCTCAGCCACCTGTGGTCCTGCCCACAGAGGTGGAGGGGGAGCACAGGCCCCCAGTAGTGTGGGAGGAGGAAAAAGAAAAGGTTCTATCTCCCACATTTTGGCTGCTCCAATTTCTCCTAGGTCCCCTGTCTTCCTGCTCCTGTCCCTCCCAACTGTGGGTGGCCCCCAAGGCTCTGTCCTCAGCCTTCATCTTCCACGTGTCTCTTCTTGTGATCTCATTCACTCCCACAGCCTCAGCTCCTGCTTCAGCCCAGCTTCCAGCCCTGTCTCTGGAGCCCTGACCTCCCTCCGGAGCCTGGCATCTGCATTCTTAATGAAGCATCTCCACCCAGGTGGAGTGAGCTAATTCCCTTCCCCAGGGAAGCAGCCCCCATTAGATCACACGGCCGCCCACCCCAGAAGGCCTCATTAACTCTCCCAAGCCCCAGATCTGTTTCCCAGATCCTCCTGGAACTCTTCCCCTTATCCAATCAGCCTCTTTGCTCTGCAGAGCTTCTCACACCCTGTCTCCTCTGACTCTGCAGCCACCTCCCTAAGTCACACTCACAGCCTCTCACCCTGTGCCTCAGCCATGGCTCCTGACCAGTCCCTTGCCTTCTTCTGTCCCTCCCTCCCAGTGTCCTTCTTCATTGTGACTTTCTGACCAAGATCTGATCAGGCCCCTTCCCTCCCAACTCCTGGGAATCTCCAATAGCTCCCTGCTACCAGTGGCATTAGTTATGAGCAGCTTTGCCCTAAGGGGTGTCTTCTCCAGCACCCTTGCTGGCTCACCCTTTAGCTAAACACTCTGAGTTTCCACCTATGGGTCCCCACCCTCTGAGGCCCATCTGACAATCCGTTTCTTCCAGGGAGCTGTCCCTGCTTGTCCTGGGAGAGCCCGAATTCTCCTCTGAAGCCCAAAGTGATTCTTCGATGGAATCACTTAATAATATTTAACATCTTTTTCTTTTCTTTTCTTTTTGAAACAGGGTTTCTCTGTGTAGCTCTGGCTGTCCTGGAACTCGCTCTGTAGACCAGGTTGGGGCTCACAGAGATCTGCCCCACCTCTAGAGTGCTGGGATTAAAGTCGTGAGCCACCACTACTCGGCTTATTTAGTATCTTTCTAAACTGCTAAAGCACTGGAGATCCTTCTTTTATTTTATTTCTTGAGACAGGGTCTCACCATGTAGCCCAGGCTGACCTTGAATCCTGCCTCCCTCTCCCAGTCCCTCCACCCCTGACCTCTAAGCCTGGGGTTACAGGCAGACACCACTACACCTGGCAGTGGGAACTCTTTAAATGGAAGAATTACTTATTACTGTCCATCTCCATCTTCTTTCCTTCATATTTTTACCGATCTATCCA